GGGAGCAGAAAGCCTTATCTTTCTCCCATGGAATAGCTGGTAGTTTCAAACTACTGACCTTGAGGTTAGCAGCCCAACTCGTAACCACTATACTACCAGAGCTCCTTTGACAGGGAGATACTAAATTGAAAACAAGATTAATATGTGTCCCCCAAAGATTGAATTGTGTCCCCCCAAAAATGCATGTTGCAAATTATAACCTGTACCTGGGGCTATAATCACATTTGGGGATAGGTTTTTGTGATGTTAATGAGATAGTATTAATGTAGGATGTATCTTGAATCTATGTCTGTTGAGATATGAGATTAAACAAGCAAGTGAGCAGAGATAGGGGAAGGGAGATGCCAAGCCACATGAATAGTGTTCAGGAACAGAAGATAAAGAGAAATAAGGACCCTCCTCCAGAGCTGAAAAGAGAGAGAAAACCTTCCAGAATTCGGGGAAAGAAAGCTGGCACCCTGAATTTGGATTTCTAAGCCTCAAATTCAAATTAATTTCCATTTGTTCAAACCTTCCCCTTGTGATATTTCTGTTATACCAGCACTAGATAATATGTAATCTAAAATGGAATGGAGAGATTAAGACATTTCTCTACGTACTTTTTGAAGCACCCTGATAGGTAAGCCAGGAGGCATCTCCTCATAAAGCTTTTGTGCTAGTGGAGAAGAGTGATGATAAGCAAGCAGAAAAATAGTAAAGAATACAATTACCTCAAAGAAAAGAGAGAGCAGAGGGTCACTATGAGTCAGAACCAATTCAGCAACAAGATAATATGTGAAGATATTCTGATATATTTTCTATCATTTCCTTCTGAATTAAAAAGCTCTTACTTCGATTTATTCAAAGGAGGACTTCTGGTGTGGCGCTGTAGGGTCAACACTTGACTGCGAACCACAGGGTCAGTGGTTCAAACCTACCAGCTGCTCCTCAGAAACCCCATACAGGGTCACTATGAGTCGGAACCAGCTCAATGGCACTTTAACAGCAAAGCACCTGGTATCAAAATTCTTTTTAAAAAGAAATCTTTTGTGCTTTATTTTTTTTCTAAGTAGCTTTTTATTTGCTCTTTTTTTGTTTTAAAAAAGTGCTAATTTTTAAAAATCTAAACTATGCAGAAACATTAAAAAAAAATCTGAAATTCTGCTACTCAGTGTAGACTACAATGTTAACAGTGGTTAATTTCTTTCACACATCTCTCTCTCTCTGTATAGACACACAGTTTTACATAACTAGGATTATACATATGCGGATCTACTTTAGGTATAAAAATTAGTTTTTGATACATATTCCTAGTAAGGCAACCTGGGGTGGCACTGTAGGATAAGCACTGGACTGCTGTCTGCAAAGTTAGTGCTTCACACCCACTAGCTGCTCTTTGGAAACCTTGTGCAGGGTAGCTATGACTTGGAAGCAGCTCCATGGCACATAACAATGACAAGGTAGCCGGGCAGTAACTCTTTCTCCTTAAAGAAAGTTACTTCTCAGTCAGAATGACATATTTACTTCATTGTTGTAAACTTAGTGGCATTTTAGTATTTCATTATTGCTTTTATTTATTTTTTTAAGCCTTTATTATGCATTGAGTGATAGTTTACATGGGGGAACATCAGTTTTGCACTCATCCAATCGTATTTTGTATCATTGCAGTGATTACAGTCCCCTCTATGCATCACCATTCAATAGTTATTTGCTTCCATTCCCTCTGTTTTTATTTTGTTTCTGTTTTTTTGATGTACACAAAAACACTCAGGAATATATGCTCATTTAAACAACCAAAGGCACACTCTGAAAGCCTGCCTCCTGGCCGCCAGCCCACAGCCTTTCTCTTTCCATGAGTCTAGAGTCCTCAGCTGCTCTCTCTCTCCATGTCCTCATCTCTGCCTCTACCTCTGGTGTTGCTTCTTCTCTGAAAAGGATCCCACATTCCACTCATGCTTTTCACCCTTGATGGTCCCAGGGTCCTCTGTTCCTGGAATGTAAGGTTAACTGCTCCCTGCTTTATGTTACAAAACTTCTACCTTTATAGTTGTGACAATTGCAATTAGTTATGATAACAGTTACTCACTACTGAATCATAAGAATCTTATCCCCCTCTCTTTTTACCAGACCCATCTAGACAAGATGAAAACTATTCATTGGGGATTCTACTTTCCCCTGCATACTCTGAAACTAAACACCCTCTTGAAACCTTGTAAGCCAGTCACTTTGTGTCTTTATAGCCCCTCTACCCCCATTTTAGGTAGTCAGTGTCTAAGTTGCCCATCCCTATCAACCTTGTGTCCAGAGGGGATAGATTTGATCCTTGATGTGAAAATGCCTTCACTCTCAGTTGGTACATCCATAAGTACAGGTCAAGTTCATCAAATTGTAAATTGCTTTTACTTTTGAGGCCCTAGTACACTTAGTTATAGCCACAATCACAAACTTAAATTACCGTCAGTTGAGGCGATCAGAGTGGGCTGAAGTAAAGAAAGCTGTATATTTTGCTGCTAGAGCCACCATGTGCAAGACAAACACCGCACATCTCATGACTCCTGTATTGAGAGCAAAGGTCTTCTTAGCATCTACGATGATTGCATGGAGAAGGGAGCTAGGCAATTGATGTGACTAATATGTCTTGCCAGGGGATGCTGTGTTTCTAGGACTTTTGTAGTGATAAACACCCTTGATGAGGTAGAGAAGGTCCAGGGCTAGCAACTCCAATGGGCAACACTGACCCAGGAGTGGTGGGAATGCACCTCCAGGAGTCTACCTGCTGTTTCCTACCTTTTATCTCTTAATAGCATGTCCAGTGCTTATAAATATAAACATGTGCCATGTCCACATATGTATGTTTGTAGCATAGTTTATTTAACCAGTTTCCCATGATGAAACATCAGTGTATTTAAATATTGCAAGTAAAACAATGTTGTAATAATTTTCCCTTTGTACTCATTTTGAGTACTCATGCCATGAGCACCTTAGCATAAATAATTAAAGGAGGAAGCTGTTAGGTGGTAGGGTGAGCACATTTGGCATTTTGATACACATTGTTGAACGGCCCACCTCATATATGACTTACTCTCATTTAATCAAAAGAGAACACTCATTTACAAATGATTCATGAGAGTAGCTATTCTCACACCTTCCCCAGTATTGGGCTGGCTGGTTATTTGGTGTGTTTTTTGAAATCTTTGCCAGTGTAATAGGAAAATACTGTTTAAAGCATTTTTTTTTTTCATTATACTTCCACTGTAAAATTAAGTTGGACTCTCTCAACTTAAAAAAAAGAGCATGTTTTCCATGCTTCTAATGTGAGTCTTGGTGTGACTTCGTAGGATAAGCCGCTGGACTATTAACGGCAAGGTCAGTGTTTCAAACCCACCAGCCGCTCCTCGGAAACCCTACAGGGTCACTATGAGCTGGAACTAACTTGATGGACTTTAACAACGAAGATTATGTGGTGTTCATTTCCTGCAACAGCAGTCTTCCTCCCCGATGAACCCCTGTTTTCAGGGCTATACTTTTGCCTCAGTTTCCTGATTTGCTCACCTTTCTTGTCTGGAGCTCTAACTTTCATTTCAGAACATTTCCGTTCTGATCTTGAACTTGCTGGTGTTTTCCCTTTTGAATAATAACAATGGACTTCTGATCCTAAGACATCAGGACAATGGTTACCACTGGGAGACACATCAGATGGGGATGGGGAGAGGGGTTAATGGAGTGCTGGTAAATGCTTTCTTTCTTAATCTGTTGGTAATTGAATAGGAGTTGACTTCATAGCTTTAGATATTTTATATGCATGTTTTTGCAATTAAAAAGTCTCACTGGAAAAAAAAAAAAAATAATGTGGTGTTGTAACATAAGCCATGGAATGCTAACAAGGTTGGTGTTTCAAACCCACCAGTCACTTCTTAGAAACCTTAACAGAGCCACGCTAAATCGGGACTGAGTCAATGCTTACTAGCAAAGCAACCCATAGTACAGTTGCTTCTGCTGAGTTTTGCTCCATTTATTATAGCTTATTCTGTAAAAAAGAAAATAAATGATGACATTTAGAGATTATTTATGATATGACTGTATATATGCTGGTGTAGCATTGTGGGTTAATGCGCTACACTGCAAAGTCAGTTTGAACCACAAGGTCGGTGGTTCAGGCTCACCAGCCCCTCCTTGGAAACTCTGCTGGGTGGCTGTGGGTTGGAACCACCTTGATGGCACTTAACAACAA